TGATGTGCCAGGATGGTCAAAACAGTTAAATTGTTTCCCCAGTATGTTGTATGGTACTGATCTGTGCCAACTCGCACTCTCCCCCAAAATTCCTTGTCATGATTTAGGGCTTAATGGGAAAGAGGCCGTAAATGGCCACAGCCGTTCTGTTTTGGAGCATAGAGAATTTGACTGTACGAATGCAAAACATACCATGCCATAATTTATTGTTTCTAATTCCCAAAGGCTTTGTTTGGAGATGATAAACAACAATTTTTGGCAATGATGAAAACGCTTGACACTCTTTTTCAAGTATCTTCAGAAAACAATCGTAATACAAAGTCAAGGCCTTTTCCTACCCATGGATGTGTTAGGAGTTGAAAGAGTAACTCTGAGATAAAGGAATAGAATTTTTTATTTTGTTTCCACCTTTGTCTTATTGAATTGAAATAATGGGTTTTGAAAACCTATTTTGAACTTCTTGATTTTTCGTCATATCCACCTGTAAGTCTAGGTGTCACGATCCATGTGTTTAGTGCTTGCTGTGCTTCATTTGTATAAGGAAAAACTCATTTCTGTTTGGCTAAGCACTCCCACCATGATATTTTGATCTATTTACCTTGCATAAATGAGATTTTTCCATTCTGGAAAGAAGGTATTGCTCCTTATGAATGTGATGAGTGACTGGAAAGCATCTAGGCTGCGCTGATAGGCATACTCATCTTCTCACCTTACAGATACGATAAACTGGGTTCTTCATTGCTTGCTAGCGCTTTCTTGCTTTCACTCTGATCTGATTGCAAAAAGAATGCTTAGGACAGGGCAGTGTGAAAAGTGTCATGGTGTTTGCTGCTTTCTCTCTTTCATCATGTTCTCCTTTCTCTGCAAATATTTACAGAAACTTGACCTGAAGAATATCTCAAGGCGGCAGTTGACATGGAAATTGAGTTGTGATGATGCAGGCAAAAATATAGACGATGGTGTTTTTAAATTTAGTCTGCAGACTGGATTCCTTGATCCAGGACAAAAAATCAGTATTGATGTATTCTTCTGCCCTTGTAAGTAATTTTCTGTTTGTTTTTTTTTTTTTTCCTACACTTTGGCCAATATACCATTTTCGTAGATTTGTTTAGATGACTTTTTATGATGGATCCTAACTAGCCCTTGTTTTAATTAACTGCCAGTTAATGAGACTAAATAACGAACTAAAATGCCAAAAGAAAGGTTTCTTGCAATTCTGAGGAAGTAAGACAACTGCAGACCTAACACAAAGCATGGAATCACTTGATAGCATTATTTAAGTCTGGTTTGCACATGTAAAGCCTCAAGTTTTGCACATATAAAGCATCAAAGGCTGGGATAGCTGAATCATTTTCAATACTGCTCCTTCATGTGCATTTAGGTTGATTGACTTAGATACTAAAGCTTTCCAAGAGTACTTGGAATGTGTGTGAACTTTTTTTTGAAATAGCCATAATTTAGATAAGAATGGAAATTTCCTCCATCAATGAGACACAAAGTCACTTCGCTATGGTATTTTTCTGAGTATTCTGCTCGGGCAAGCAGACCCTAAGTAAAAAACATAAAATAGATTTCTAACAAAACTTGGGAGCATGCAGGAAGATGGTTATCAAACACATATGCCAGAAGAGGAATGGTAGAACATGAATATTAGGGTCCTACCTTATTCCCAGCCAAGTGTTCATGGTAGACAGTAATGTAACACTGTATTTGAGTTGATAGATGAAGCTCACCAGCATATGCAGCTGATGTCTACAGAAGTCAGAGTCATTCTGACAGTTTTAGGGTGGTCTGTTTTGGGGACTCAGCATTCTCAAGAGGAAGAAAAGTTGTTTTGTTGGTTGGATCTGATCCTGAGTCAGCAAGTAAGCATATCCCTGTCCTAAAGAAAGATGTTGCTGCTTTTCTTTATGGTAGGATTGAAATATATAACCTCAGTTCAGCACTGGAAACAATTTAATATAATGATTAATAAAAAAATATAGGTATAAGAGTCTTGCCAAGATTCTGTATGATAAATTGAGAAGACTATATTAAATGTTGCTCTATAAATGTGAATATAAAAGAGCAGTATTTAATTTTTATATGTTGCTTGGAGTTGCTTACTGTACTTCAAAATGGTTTTCCATTATGTTTTATACCTTGTTGGTAGCTTTTGTCTTCAACTTCTGGTTGAAGAAAAGTCACATCAGCTTGTAATTTTGTTTCATGAGGTGGAAAAGTAATTAATGATTTTGCAGAATTATTTAGAAGGTTGTTTGTCTTAAATTCTTTTAATTATTGTTTTGACTAGCAAATTCTGACTTTTCTGAAGTAGTATTTCTTTGTGCATATAATACCTGGAAAGTTTCTGACCCAATCAGTATCTATAGTTGTAGTTTTTACACTTCTGAGCTATCCATGAGGTATCCATTTAGAAATGCATATTTAAATTACTCTATTAAATTATATATTATTACAAATTAAACTGAAAAAAGTTTGATGATATTTAGTATTGGAAGGCTGAACAAAAATATTTAGAGCATGTTTCTGGCTTTGTTTCATCACTTTTTCTCCCTTTCCCTTGCATTCCTCCAAAGTAAATTCCAAAACGCCTGTTTTTTTGGTTCTGAACCACATGTTTATGAAATAGCCATAAAAACATGTTCAATGTAATAAAGCTTTTTTACTAGGTAGATTCTGTTTTGTACTTCATGTGATCCTCTTGTTTTGGAACCAAATGATGTGATCTCATCTTCACTTCATCTATGCAGATACTCAATCAGTTTTTAGTGATAACTTATGTAGGTTATCAAAATAAAATAAAATTGTTTGTTGTAGAATTTGTTTTGGGAGTACTATGAAATAAAAAATCCAAGGATACTAGGTGAATTGAATGAAAATATTGTCCCAGGGTGTGAGAAAATGTTAGAATATAAAAATCAGAAGCGGTTAAACAGTGGGAGGAGGATGACAAGAAGATTGCATGAAACAGAGAGATACCATAGGAGAAAAATCTGGAAATTATCTCTTTTCAGATGTTCAGTTTTACAAAGCTTTAGAAATATAGCCTTGGAATCTCAGTTTACTTAAGGATGTAAGGATCTACTCAAAGCATGTCTGGAGAGTATGAGAGTATGTCTAGACAGAAGAAAGGCTTTGGGTAAACTTTGAAATTTTGAAAACTTTTTAATTTTAAAAAACTATTGAGATGCAACTCAGAGGAAAAGTAGGTTAAAGAAGTCAAGGAACAGAAACATATTTTGACCCCAGGTCTTTGTAGTCAGAATGTAGAGGAAGGAAGAATGGAAATACAGAATGTTAGAAAGCAAAAAACAAGCACTCATAGCCTTGTTGTTCCTTGAGATGCAATTAAAAAAGACACATGTAGTTTACTGTAACTCTTTCTTTTTTTCTCCTTCCTTAAATTTCTACTTTGTTTTGTATAGAGTATCATATTTTTTTTTCTGCAGCATTTCAGGTAATAAATCCTATAAAATAAGTATTGTAACTTTGAGAAGGTATTTTAATAGATATTTTTGCAAAGTATGCCTATGGTTGGAATAACAGGATCATACTAAAATAATCACTTCTGAAGAACACATATAAACGTTTTTGTCTGCTTTGAATTTGAGAAACATATAGGAGAAATAATAGCTGCATTTTGCATTGATTAGATCAACGTATATAGTATATAGCTCGGAAAAGAAAATTGCTCAGGGCAATATTAGACTTGGAAAATAAAAATAATGAATTTGTATTGCCAGATATCTGGTGATTTTTAGGGTACAGATGAGCATAGGGTCTCATTTTCTCCTTGTTCTAAGCACCACTCTGGCATTTAAGACAGAGGAAATTAAAAAAAAAATTCTAATGCTATTTGAAAAAAAAATCTGATACTATTTTGCGCTGCAGCTGGAGAGGAATTATGTGCTAATGAATAGGTGAAATGATCATCCATATGATGTTGTTCTATTTAGGTATTTACATCATGAGAATGTATTAAAATTACTTGTGTGTTGCAAAGACTATGAAGCAGAGAACAGCATTCAAATAAAAGCTGGTATTTTGAATTACTGAATAAATTGTGTGTGTAAATACAGATGTGTATATACAGAAATATGAGTGATAAATGATAGTAATTTGAAGTTATTTGTATTTTTGCTATGTTTCCATATCTTTTCTTTACAGAAAATCACAAATAACTGTACAAATCAATTGCCCTGAATTCGATGTTCTAAGTATTTTGTCATGATTTATAGCCTACTTTGTGCTATACTTTTACTGAATATAATTGCTCTTGTGAAAGAACATTAGGTACATCAAAACCCACGCAGAAGACCTAGTTAATGAGTATGGTGTGCTAATCACCTTCACAAGTTTGTACTGTAAAGTTGTAGTATGTAGGAGTGAACAAAGCTTAAAATGAACTTTGAATATGCATTAGAGTACTTTGTTTAAATATGCTGCAGTGTTTATAATTATGAGAATGCAAAGTGCTATAGTAAGCTACAGTGTTAAATTAAACGTCAGAGTTTGTATAATGTGTGGTAATATGATGCTACCTGTTAAGAAAAATATACTAAATTTAATAGAGAACTGAAGGTATATTAATATGATCATCTTCTGCTGTGCTATAGTATGATGCATTAACAGTATATGAAAAAATTAATTTATCTTATTGCGTCATGAAAAAACTGCAGCATAGGAAGTTACAATAAATCTGTGCTCTGTGATCCCATGTGGAAAAATACTCACAAATGCTCCAGCGAGTTAAAATGGAAATTCAGTGCCCATGAAAGATGTGATGATTATGTAGAGGACACAGATGGCCATCATGACTTCCATCTTCTAGGGTTTCTTTTTTCTGCAACAGTGAGATGTTAAATAACTATGCTCTTTAACAGTTTCTGTGAAACAATGATTATTTTACTTTTGATTATCAAAACCCATGCTATTACACAGTTAAGATTTTGGAGGGAGAGGGGGAAATAGAAAATTAGAATTGTGCTGCTAGAAAGGAACAAGGAATATGGACATCCTTAAAGAGTTGGCCATTTAAACTAGCTTTTGCTGCTAGCTTAAATTGCAGCTGAAACAGAGTGGAAGGTGTGGGGACTTGAAATACTTATCTTCCAGAAGAGTGTGAGCAGTATTGAGAGGAGAACTTGCATATGTATATAACTGACTTTATATGTTTCTATCAACAAAGAATCTGCTTATAGTCCCCAGATAGCATGCTAGGGAGTTAGGCACTCTGAATTGGATGGGCTTTCTAGTGCAAATTGACTGAAAATGAAGCAGCTAATGAATATATACACATACGTACTTTGAGAAGTTGTGTTCCTTTCATGCATATTTTTTTCTAAGGTAAGGCAATGAATGCTTATTTCCCCTATTAAACATATCTAGAAAAGACAAAGGGGAAATTTCCCATATAATTCTACAGATTTTTTTAGCCCGTGGCAAATTTAGATTGACAAATTTTTAAATACCATCAAGTTTCCCTAAGGAAAATTTCGACATCTACTGGACTGCATCTTGTTTACCCTCTAGAAGTTAGTTAATGATGGTACATCAGAATGGTAACAGCAGCACAAGCTTTGACAGTAGCCATGAAAGATGTGATTAATAGAATAAATTCATGACTTCATCTGTTAGTTCAGGACTTAATTCTTGTTAATTTCAAAGTAATTTATTTAACACGAAATATCCTGAAAACATTGGTCCTAGGCATTACAAACTAATGAACAAAGCTTAATGAAATCATTCCCTTTTTCTTTTTTTTCTATGGCAAATGAATGTGATTGTGTAGTTAATAGATTTGTTAGAGTAGTTATGTGTAGTACGGATGAAAAGTTTGTATGAGGAAAGCTTAACAATATTCTTTCCAAACTTTTGAAGGTTTAACTTTGGAACTACGATTAACATGAATATTTTAAAATGTGAGTTAGTGAAAATCACGTATCTTTGGTACTGACATATGCTCCTCTTCCTACATGGCATTCCATCCCTACAGCATATATTGGTTACAGCCTTTCACTTTCCTTTACCATATGCCATACTTATATATGAAGGTAGGATACCAGAAATATGATTTAGTTGGAGTGCAGCTGTAGGACAGTAGACTGTCTAGCTCGTATATGGGAGTAACTTGTATAGAACATCTTTTCTTAAAAGCGTGTCAAAAATATACTGTTTGACTCTTCATACATCTCCGTGACCTTTTTGATGCTCTCTCAACTTTCTCCCATAAAAGGGCTAAGTGCCAGAAAAAGGTGTGTTCTTGCTGTATCAAATCGTAGAAGCACAAGCTTCTTAGCCTTCTCAGCAGTATTGTCTGCTAAAATTGATTTCCATTGAACAGGGAATTAGCCAGAGTTGCAAACACTGCAGCAAGTTCCCCTTTCATCTAGTTTTCACTTAGCCAGGTTCATGTTTTCTGGTCTGAAACAAAGGGATCTGTAGGCCATGTTCTGATGAGCTTCCATGAAACTTCTTTATTGTCATCTCCATGAAGAAATTGGCTGTTATGAGGAAGGAATAAGGCAAAATATTTTGAAGACACTATGTTTTCTTCTTTGTATATGTAAACAATGGCAGCTCTTTATCAGGCTATGAAAATAATTATCTGAACTAATCTCAGAAGAGCTTGTCACATGTATTTTGCTTGCAGTGACACATATGTGCTCATACAGACATGTAAAATACAAAATTATTTGTTCTGCTGTCTCTTTCCTTCTTAAATATTAGGTGAAGATGTTTCCATACTTACTAATCTGATGACAGAGGAGAATCAAAGAGAATGGTGTTTTTCTTGAAAATGAAAAGATTAAAGTTTTTGAGTTGCCTTACAACGCGTCATGCAGATTTATTGCTAAATATAGGAGGTGTTCGTTAGTTGGTCCTCAAAAACCAAAATTGTTTATTTTGTTAGCTCTTTGGTAGGTGGGAATGACTGAAAATTTGGTAAATGGCACTGCATGGTTTGGAACATCATTTTGATGGTGTAACGGTTGCGGAAGGAAGCACCTTGCTGTCCGTATCAGAGAAAGAAAATGTGCTTTTCCGTCCTAGAGAAAACTGCCTTGCAGCAGTGAGCAAGATAGTGTGGGAAGGAGCAGAACACAGGGAAACGGGAGAAACTCTCAGTGGAGGGTACAACCTGTCCTGCTGGCTTGTGTGAGGCTGCCTTGGCAACAGTATAGGTTTTAGTCATCCATTAAAATGTAATGATTGCCATCTTTAACGACACCAACTTTTTCTTGTCTCGGAGGTCAGGTATTTCCAATATTTGTACCTTTATAAAATCAGCGTTCTCTCTGTTAATTAGTGTAATTCATGATATGACTGCAATTCTTAAAATTCCGAGAAGCGTTACATTGATGTTACATATAGAGGAATATTAATACAGTAAATTAAGAACTCGAACTTTGAATAATTTCTGACAAGTTAAAAAAATGTGGATTTCTGGTTTGCTATAGACAAATGTTCTAAGCTTTCTTAATAAATAATTATTCTGATACAACATTTACTGTATGTTAAGCTATATTTTGAGTTAGAAAGCAATACTGATGACTTAAATATAAAAAAAATTAAAAACTTCTTACTATAACTCTTCTAGTTGCGTGTTTTTATGGTAATATAATTTGGTTGGGCTTTTTTGTTTGTTTCTTCTTTTTTTTTTTTTTTTAATGTTTTTAACAGCTTGTCCTGGGACATACGCATCTGAAATGTCAGTGTATCTAGATGATAATCCATCACATTACAAAATAAAATTGTCTGGCACTCTGAAGTCACCAAAGATAACTTTCGATCCCCCCTTTTTAATGCTGATGCCAGTTCCTCTGGATGTGAAAACTGAAGCAGCCGTCAATATCATTCCACAATATTATTTAAGGTAAATATTTTGAAATACATTTAATTTATTACAGAAATCCTGAATAATTCTTGGTTTTGTTCTCTTCTGAAAAAATGAGTTAATTTTTGTTTGTGAAGATTAGCATTAATTATCTGCTAAGCAGAGGAAAGCGTTTGCTTATTTAAGAGAAAATTCATTTAATTAATATTGCTGTACATTCAACAAGGCAATGTCCTGTCCTCAAAACATTCCACTCTGTCAGATGCTTTTAAAATTACTTTGAATAGCTCAGAAATTAAGAGGAGGGTCCTACTAGGACTTTTTGTTAACTTTAGCCAGATATCAAGATCATAGTCTCATTTCTTTTTTTCACACTGTGATCAGATAAAATCTTTCTGTTTAATTTTCTCTACTCCACAGGTTATAAAGCACTGTGTTTTTTTTTCTTCCTAGGCAAGATTTTAGTACTAAAGAGGATAGCACAAATGCTTTATTCCTGTCACTTAATATGATAAATTATCCATATATTTTTCATTTTTCTGTAGATCACCCACTTTAGTTATTTGAATTTATAAGAGAGCCTTTTTGTAATCTTCATATTATGAAGCATAACCCAGCACCACACCTATTCCAATTTGATAGAAATGTTAATATTTTAATTTTTCCAAGCACTCTTGTGTATGTGTGTGTCAAAATAGGATTTTCTGGTCTCTAAAATAAAACTTTTCTGTTTGTAATTTGTAAAAAGCAGTAATATTAGTTTGTTATGCTCATGTAGGTATCATTTCAATACCAGAAGAGTTGGAGCAAAACTCTTTAAGTTGCCATAAATTAATGATACTAACTTCACCTTCAAATTATTATTGTCTTAGCTCATTTGAGTGGTTGTAATTTCTGAAGTGATTTATGTATTGTCGGTAACTCAGTGATTGGAACCGACAGAATTCCATATGGCCCTGTACTAACTGCCATTCTTATTTCCGAACTGGAACCTAAATTTACATAACTGGGGAAAGCATCTGAAGTATCTTCATGAATTTCTCCTTAATATTTCTATTGTAAAACTTGCTTTACCTTGTTGTGCAACAATGCAGTTTAATCAATATTAATGAAAGCTTTAAGTTTAGGAAACATAAAGTAAGAAGTAATATTTATGCCCTTTGTTGCACAGTTAGTAGAAATTGCTCTTCGACTGGGTGTTGATCTACTGTGGGTCAATATAAAATGTTTCAGATACATATGTGGAAAACAGACTAGCATCTGAATGCTAAAGGAATTTTAATTCTTTAGTTTCACCTGATTTGTACTTCAAAACTGAAGTTATTCTTCTGTATTTAACTGTGAAAAGCAGTTTTGTAAACGTGTAAATCTGTGAATTAATTTTATTACTGTCAACTTGTGAGCACAAACACCATTGCTATTTATTTTTAACACAGGCAATCGCAAATTCGAGTTGAACTTCCAGAGCTTAAACTTGAAGATGGTGACAGGATTTACCCTTTTTCTGTACAATTCCCGGAAGGACAAGATATTATTCTCTCATCAGATGGCACGAATAAGAAACTAACTAGTCATATCAGCTTCAGATCATCTAGGCCTGTGTCATTTTTAGGGAATGTGTTCTTCATTGACAAAGAAGACAACAGGTAATGTGTGCAATTCAAATTCATCTGGGGGCAGGGTCCAAACCGATAAAGTTGGGTATAAAGCTCAGAACTCATAATGGTTGGGTAAAGGCATACAAGAATCATCCTGAAAAAAAAAAAAAAGGAAAATGAAAAATAGAAATTTATTTCTTTTTTCAACCTAATTACAGTTTGAAAACACAAAATTCAGCTTTGATCTCTAAGATAAGAGTCATCTAAGTGGCCAACTTAACATCTTGTATCTCATTCATATCTGCTTATGTCTATTCTTATGTCTTATTCTTATGTCTACTTAAGTTTTCTCAGATTGCTCTGGAGAGTCATGGCCTTGATTCAGCAAATCCCAATGTTTTCTATTATGAATTGTTTTCCTTTTGGAAAAATACTGTATTAAAATTAAAATTTTACAGTGCATTCCATGCTGGATTTCAACATAGTCTGATTTTGTGTTGAGCCAAACTCTGTGACGTTTTACTCCATTGAGCCTCTCTCCTACGTTTCGTTTTTTAATGGCATCAGGAAGAGCTGGTAGTTCTTATTACCTGTTTCCAAATCTTCACAAAGTTGCAGTGGAGTGATCTTGCAAAGGATAACTCCATTTTCAGTCCTCTCAAAAGCTTCAGGTGCTTCTCTGGTACCCAAGAGTTCAAGAAGAGACATCTTCAGAGTAAAGATAGGGAGACTTCTCGGGGGAATTACACTGGAAGTCAGCATTTCATTTTGCCAGGAACCAGCAAAGAACATGTCCCAGTCTTATTTTAAAGGTGCATCCCCCCTTCCCTCCCTCTCTCAGTGTATGTCATTCTTCAGCCTTTTGCACTCCATGCAGTTTGCCTTTCCCCCCCTGCGTTCTTCTATAGCTTTTCTTTCTTTTGTGTCTGTGTGAGTGTGTGTCTTGCCTTCCATTGGTGTGTTGAATTGTTTTTAAATTGTGGCTTTTAACTCATTGTTATATCTTAATCCATAATTTTTCCTTCTCTGGTTTTAGGTTCTCTGTTTTTAAGCTTTTCGGAGCAGGACAGTCTGAGTTAGTACACTCTGATCTCTAGTTCTTCCTGCAGTATCTGTAATTTGTTTGTTTGCTTGTGGTTTTTGTGTTGTTTTTGGATTTTTTGTGGAGTTTTTTTGGCTACTGAGAAGGAAAGATGCATATGTGTGTTCTGAGATAGGAATTGGGAGCTATTAAGTGATTAATATGTTGATGCTTTTGACAATTTTTTTTAAATTGCAAGGGATAGGGCAGTATCTTTGAGCAGCTCTATAGCAAAACAGTTGATTCATGAATAAAAAGCAGGCTGACTCCTGATCTCACTGAAGCATTCTTTGGGGCCTAAGATAAAAAGGAAACATTTTAGGGGCCAGGTGATAGAAGACTGTGTGGACAGATGTTGCTCATATGCATCAGTGCAATTTATTGTTTACAGATTCTAAAAAAAAAATACATATATACACACACATGCACATATATGTGGAGTTTTTTTTGTGTATGTGTAATGCTAAGCATTCATCAAAGTATGCTAGGGATATGTTTCAGCTTCAGACCATACTTGTATGAAAAGTATACGGGATACTGTCTTTTCTCATATACTTACATTTGAGACACAAGACTGGGTAGCAAAGTGTGGAAAACTGTTGGTATCTTCTCCCTTCCCTCATGCTGGGCCCTTCAGTGTGTTCCGTGCTACCTTAGAGGGACTTCCCGGAGAGCAGCATCAGCAGAAGTGGGCAGTATCAGAGAGAAGGGATAAGGGACAGATATGCTTTATATTGTTATTTATTTTTTTATATATTTTTCTCAAATGCAGTCTTGTGCACTACGTCAGAAAACATTTGATTTTTTCAGAAGTGCTGAAATTATTTGGGAATATAAACTCTACAGCTGAGAAATACTTAGGAATTTACACAGTCTAATTCCTTAGATATAAATTCCTTTAGGATAGAATACCTAGAGTTTGACCGCAATTTGTATGCAGCGTTCAATTCTTTAAAACAGTGTTTAGTGATGAAAACACATGCAAACATGAAGTTCATACATCTTATTTTGATTTTATAGTTGTAGGCTGTTCTTTCATGTGTAACTTTACACGTTAACTTTAATGTTAACTTTAATGATAAAAAGCCATGCAGGTGGTCTCTCCTGCCCCTAGTAAATGGAGATTACTCTCCATGTTATTGAATGTTTTCTCTTACCGTTATTAAATGTTCTGAGCCAAAATAATAGAGGTAAAAGAAAATCCCAAAAATAACAGCTCAGGAAATAAAGTTTCCCCTCCTAGGGGTGCAGTGGGGTCAAAAGCCCAACTTACGTGCTTCTATACGAACACACGCAGTATGGGCAATAAACAAGAGGAACTGGAAGCTCTTGTTATCTGGGGAAACTATGACATAGTTGCCATCACTGAAACATAGTGGGATGACTTGTATAACTGGAGCGCTACCATGGATGGCTACAAGCTCTTCAGGAGGGATAGGAGAGGTAGGAGGGGTGGTGGGGTTGCCCTGTATGTAAGGGAAGGTCTAAACTGTTTAGAGTTAAATGTTGGGGATGACTTGGTAGAATGTCTGTAGGTGAAAATCAAAGGGGGGCCTATGAAGGCGGATATTGTAGTGGGAATCTGCTACAGGCCACCCTATCAGGACAGTGAGACTGATGAGCTATTCTTTAAACAACTGGGGGAAGTCTCGCGCTCACTAGCCCTTGTCCTTATGGGTGACTTTAACCTACCTGATGTCTGTTGGAAGTATAACATGGCAGTCAGGAAACAGTATAGGCGATTCCTGCAGAGCGTGGAGGACGACTTCCTATCACAACTGGTCAGTGAACGGACTAGAGAAGGTGCTCCCCTAGACCTGCTGTTTGTGAACAGAGAAGGTCTTGTGGGAGATGTGAAGGTTGGAGGACGCCTGGGGCATAGTGACCACGAGATAATAGAATTCTCAATTCTAGGGGAAGTTAGGAGGG